CCCAAAGCACTGGAACAGGCTGCCCAGGGAAGTGGTTGAGTCCCCACCCCTGGAGGTATTTAAAAGCTGGGTAGACGTGGTGCTCGGGGACATGGCTTAGTGGTGGGCTTGGCAGTGCTGGGCTAACGGTTGGACTTGATGATCTTAAGGGTCTTTTCCAACCTCAACGATTCTATGATTCTATGATTCTCATCAGGTTGTTAAATGACCTGACTCCACCTACTGCATCTATCATACCATATCGTTTGAGAAAATAATTGTAATATGCACAAATGCTTCATTCATCACAGTAGGCAGAATTCAGTGCCTGAGGCTATAGAATGCCCCATTTTTTTATATATAAAAAAGAGGGTTTTTGTAAGACTCCATTGTAGAACAATCGCTGATGTATTGCATCTTCTTACACAAAGAAGCAAGAATCTTAAGTGCCAAGAAGATCGACTCCTGTTTATAGGTTTTTCAGGCAATATCTGTAAAATTTTATTTATTTCTATTTCTTTGACCAATCAAATACATTTTTTTATAGAAACTTCAAGGCAGACTGAGAAACAACAGAATTAAGACTGTTTGTACTACCTTGGTTTGGTCAACTAGTATCAGGAATTTTATTTTTTTCCCCCCACTTTTCTCTCTAAGTCTCAGCCTCCCCACTCTGACTCTGACCTGGTGTAGATCTGTAGCGACTGCTTGTCCTGCTTGGTTGCCTTGGCTCTCAGCAGCTTTGCCCACTTACTCCCAAACTCCAGCAACGTCTCCCAGCTGCTCTCAGCCCTCTCCCAGCTTCACATCCCATCTATACATCCCCGAGGCGGTGGCCTCCCTCTGCTCTTTTCTCCCTAATGGATGCAGGTTTTTGCTTTTAGAATTCAAATCAAGCTGCTCTGTTGGGTTTTTTTGTTGTTATTTTACTGTTATTATTTATTGTTATTTTATTATTACAGCTGCCCTGAACCGTTGAGCCTCTTTACTCATGCTTGGGCAGGGAATGGTGCTGATCTGTTGTGGTTTTGACTGGGAGTCCGGATGAATAAACCAATGCACTGAAGGTTGTTGTCCAGAAAGGTTGTCCACATTAATAAGATTAGTATTAGCAAGGTCGGACATATTTTCCCAAATTTGAGCTTTTTTTTTTGTATTTTTGTAGTATAACTTAAACAGAGCTTTAAAACAAGGATTGACTTCAAACTAGAAATGTAGTGACAGCTAAAAATGAATCCAAATAAGTTTCTGAACTGAGAAATACATGTAATCTGTTCGGGATATAGTTTTATCTAAGCAAGTCAAAGTTTTCCAGTGAAACATTTTTTCATTAGATTTTACATTCTTCTGTAAATTTACATGTTGTTGTAAAATTCCCGATCCGTTCTGCTCTTTGCTCTGAAAAACGAAACCCTGTTGTCCTCGTTCGTGGCTCAGAAGCTGGCCCAAGTCTCGTCCGAGAACTTTGTTGAAAGAAGGAGCCTTGACAGCGCCGGCTTTCCCACCGCCTCCCTCGCTGCAGTCTGTAGGGTCACCCCGTTCTCGGAATGTTATTTTGAGCCTTCTCTTCGCGGGGGGTCTTGCCCCATGTTGCGCTACCACGGGTGCGTGTCTCTGTGTGAGCTCCTTCGCTGGGCGCTTCGTTCACGATTTCACTCCCATTAGTTTTTCTCATAGACAATTATAAGAGAAACTCTGATGGTCAGTCAGCTTTGTCTGGCGAAGCAGAGGCAACTGTTTCTTTGTGTATGTTGCTGTGTATCTTTTAAATAGGAATGAACGGGGTTTTCACAGCCATAGTCTATATCCGCAAGTTGAAAAACTGCATGGGATAATTAGCAAGGAGCTTGTGTGGTAGCGTGGGGATTCTGCTTCCATAGTGCTTTGACGAAGTAATGTCGTTATGAAAGAAGAGCCTTCGGAAAGCACACAAAGCGTGAAAGAAACACTGGGGAAACATCCATGTTTTGAGATAGAGCAGGCAGTATCCAAGTTCCACTGCTCCGGGGCTAAACAAAGCCTCCAGGACACAGCGTTTTGCCCAGAATTTCTTGCTCTTCTCAGGCTTCTACTACATCAAATCTGTTCATGCTGTTGGTGAGCACTGAGTTAAGTCCTGCTCAGAGGAAGAACTGACAGCAACCTGAGCACCCTCCTGCTGACTTGTTCAGCACAGGGCGATCAAGTGCATGATATAAACGGCCTGTCTGTCTGCATCAGCAGCTCTGAGACGTGCATCCGATGGAGTAGGGACCAACTGTGATACCCTCAGCCAAGCCCACCTCTGCGCAGACAGCTCACAAATCACAGGGGTTTCCTTTGATTTGATGAATGGTTGAATTATTTATTTTTACATAGAACTCTGTCAGAGTTTTCTGAACCGTGGGATGGATGCAGCATAAAAATAGCATTAACAGATAAAAAATACCATCTTTCTCCCTACTTTTATCTGTCTTTGTCTCAGATTGCAAATTCTCTGGAGTGAGTTTGTGTCTTGCTCTTAGGCTCCCTATGCCTGACAGTTACACTAAGCTAGAATATGGTTTTTGCAAGGATATGAGTTTTCAATAGCTCCTATATTCTTTCCTTAATAGTATTGATTCTAAAGGACCTTTGAGTTTCATTGATAGTATGATGTTCTAAATTTGGCCCAGGCTCTACAGACTTTAATAATGCTGACCCCTTCCAGAATGCTGCTGCTTGTTCTTGGGCAAAGTCTCTGTTGGAGAATTTTGAAATAAAAATCAACAAATGCATGTAGATTTTAGCACTGTACTTAATATTATATGTTTTGTTGACAAATCTGAAGTTATCACTATAAATTGTGTGTTGCATAGTTTATGAATGTGTTGGGATCAATGGGTAGACATAGAGTGCAAACTATATTAATGTACGAATTCTGTGAAGTTGGGTCCGCTTTTGCCCAGTTCTCCACTGCTTAATAGAATGACTTTGCTTGCCTCAGTTTCGTTTGTTTAGATTTGACTCAAAACCTCTTACTGCAAATAAAACTCCTACATTGTTACCAGACTTGGATAAACCTATAAAGATCTTAATTGCTGTTTTGATGGTACACCGCACACTCCTGTGTAGAAAGCTCTGTTGCCGTTGGGTAATCTCTGCTTGCTTCTGTGGCTTCTTACTTTTTTTTGCTTTTATTAGTTACATCGTGAATATCTGAAAAGTATTTGTAGGAAACCAAACATTGCTTTTCTTAAGACTTTTTTTTTAAAGAACATAATCGTATTCTGCCTGTACTGAGAACGGTTTTCCCAGCTGTTGCTGTCCCCGAGCCCTGCCGGTGCCAGCGGCTGGTGCCTGGGTGTCCCTCCCGAGCAGCCGCATCCTCTGCACTCTCTGAATTCCAGCGCAGATGAAGTGACAGAAAACGTTTATAGTGTGTGATTTAAACGTTTTGCTCTCTGCAGTGTAATAGAAAATATTATTACACCAGACAATGTGTCTAGCTCTTGCTTAATCCCGGGAAGAGCCCCTTCAGCTGGCTGGCGTGTACCTCATGCTTTCTAGAAATGTCTTGTGTCTCACCGTGCATTTGGTGGGTGTCACATCGCCTGCCCACCGCCCGCGTTCTGACAGCGGTTGTGTGATTTCCCTCCTTCCAGGCAAGTAAGAAAATGTAGTGGGACGGAGGGAAGGCCGAGAAGCCCCGAGCGAGCGCTGGGACGAGGGCCTCCGGGCGGGACTCCCCTCCCTGCCGCGCGGCCTCACCATGTCCAAGAAGGGCGGCAGCAGCCGGGCTAGGGGGGAGAAGCCGGACGCCTTGGCCGCCTTGCAGGCTGCCAATGAAGAGCTCAGGGCCAAGCTCACCGACATCCAGATAGAGCTCCAGCAAGAAAAGAGTAAGGTGTGCATCTTTTCCTTTCCTTTCCCCATTAATTAAAATAAAGATAGTCTGTTGTTTCTGACTGCTAACCACTCTTTGCCCCACTTGTAGCTGACTCGTGCGTGACTTTGACAACAGATCATCAGAGTGCGTGCCCCAGGAACCAGCCTCCTGTGGGAGACAAGAGGCAACCCCTTTACTGCAGATTTTTAAATTGTTCTCCTTGTACTTGTAACGTGCATATGGGACAAAAGATCTCTGAAAGCGAGGGTGCTTCAGCAGCATAGCTCTCGGTGGAAAAGCCAAGCAGTGAGGATGGCCGGCTCCTGGGCGGGCAGGACTCAGCCGCGGGCAGCGTGCTTGCTCCCGCCATCCAGGAAGAAATGAAGTTGAAAAATCGCGTAGCTAAATGCCAGAAAAAGAACTGGAAAAACAAACATCTGCTCAAAACAGATGGCATACTCGTAGTGGTGGGCTGAAAGCTGTCCGTGTCCTTTGTTTCTCCCGCTATAACTTTTCCTAGTAAATATTTACCTATTTACGAGGATGTCTGAGGGTTTTGAATGCAATTTTGTGTTATTCAGAAATTCTCTTTGCTTCTTATTCTCTTTCACATTTACACTATTTTAATTTGGATTTTATGCTCAAAGTCCTTCAAACTGGCTGCCTGCAGCTTTCAGCTGTGCGGCCATAGGCCTCAGCTCTGCCTCCCCTCCACCTGCCCAAGTGGAAGGAGCTGCAGTTTCACCCCGAGCCTCGGAGAGGGCGGCAGCCAGTGCAGCTGGAGCCTCAACTTGAAGAGCTTTTAGCCGTAGCCTTCAGACCACTTCTCAGTGAGGGCATGAAAAATTTATTTGCTTTTCCATAATCCCCCAAATTAGTTTCCACTGATAAACTTTGGGGGTTTTTGGTTCCAGAATGCCAGTAGAGACATGCATTCTCATGCCGGGGCAGAATGATATTCTGCATTTTTCCATTAATTTGCATCATTATCAGGCATTGTAGACTATGAATCTAATTTTTAAGGAAGCTTCTAAGGGGGTGGGTGGGTGTGGTGTGTGTATATATATATATATATTTAACTAGAACACCTATTAATCCTTTTGTTGTGAAGCAGCGTTTGCAGTTTTAAGACTGAGGACCCTGTTTTCCTTCCCCGTGTCCTCCCCAGTCCTTTCGATCCAACACTTCTCATAATGGCTCCTCTTGAGTTCATGGTATGGTTTTAAATTGAAATATCATTTGACCCTTCTGTGGTCAGATACAGTTAGTTATCTGTTATGCATAATTCATCGCTGAAAAAGCATCTCATAAAATGCAATTGTTTGGGGCTCCACAGTCGCTTGCACAGAGCTTTTTCTGTCTTGCATATGCATGTGCGCACAGCGCAGTTTGGATCTGCATGCCAAAATACTGGCTTGGCATCTGGTTTCTCACGTATTCTTTCGGGGATGCAGTGTGACAGCTTCTGCAGCTATCCGGCTGAAAAACGAAGTAGGGACTGAGACCTACGCCCCAAGATACTGGCCAGTTCCTAAATGTGTGTTATCTTAGACGTTGGTCTGTTTCTAGCAGCTGTGACACAGAGATCAGGGCAGTTTCTGAGCACGCACTGCCTGTAGCGGGTGGGCAGTGACGGCTGGTTCAGCTGGGCTTTGTGCTTCTTCCATAACTTTATGATCCTTATTTATCTTGTGTTAACTCCTGCTTTTAGGGCACTGACTTGGGCAAATGAAAGAATCAATAAGATTGCAAGGCATTATTATTTAATTATAAAAATAGAATATGATGCTAAAATCAGCGTTGGTGCCTAGACTTTTATCCTCAATATCAATAATTTGTGCAATGACAACGATACAGTTTTGTTTCTCTTTTTCTAAATATGCAGATATTTCTGCTTATGCTGATCCCCAGTGAAAGACAAGTCTTTTCTACAAATTTGTCAGGGTTCTTTTTCTTATTTTCACACATTACTCTGTCCTTAGGAGACTTCTCGAAGTTCTCTGTAATGTCACAGTTTTTTCTTTACACCTGCATGGTTTGGTTCTGCAGTGTGCTCATTTGTGAGCTCTTAGCAAGGAAACCTTATTGTGTCAACTGGGGAAGAAAAATGCACCTTTACTAAAGAGAATTGACCTGAACATTTTTTCCCAATAAACACTACAAAGTAGTGAATATCCACTTCTTAATTTTAGCATTTAAGTATGTGCAGAGGCTGTTGTGATAAACATTACAGGACAGAAAAGACAGAGCGAACAGACGTGCACTCCCTGCCTGGGAATAAACCTGCCCAAAGGAGGGGGGCAGCCATGCAAACGCTGCAAATGCTACTGCAGATCCGTGCGGGGAGTAGCTTCTCGTGCAGCACCTGCCGTGATGCAGCAACCACTTCGATAAAAAGCTGAGGTGGGTCCTGTTTTCCCCTAAGACACAGGATTCTCATTTGTACCCCAGAAAATCACTGATGACCCACCTCCATCGGCTCTTCTGGTATGTAGGCAGAAACGTAACCTCCCAAGCAGAGTTTGTAGTCACCAGCGCGACGGACGGCAGCCTGGCCGGTACGCTGCACATCGGCGCCTGAGCGCCGCGGTGCGCAGCCATAGCCACCCGGAGGACGGCTTGCGTCCGAAGGGTTTTCCTCATCGTCGCTGTTGGTTCGGGTTATGTGGAGTTGCAGTGGCTGCATCAGTGACAAGGTGAACACGCACTGGTGCTTCTGGCGAGAGGATGGCTCTGTCAGGGCTAAGACAGAGTTGTGTCCAGGGTATTTGTGGTAGATTTAGAATCACTTTTACAACCCCCAGTCCTGACTGTGTTGCTAGGTTAGCTGCGTTACGAAAAGATCCCCACAGGTACCTGCCAAACCTCGAGTCCAGCGACGGCTGTGACAGTGCATTGAAAGCATTTGCCATAAATTGTAAAATACCTTTTCCCTGTGAAAATGTTTTACAGGGGTTTGTAATGTGTATTTTCTTCACACAAAATGCATCAAGGGAGGAGATTGCTCTTTTGTAAGTCTACAGCATGAAGACTGTGCAGCAGAGCTCAGTGACCTTAGTTTTACCTGGAACCCAGTTAAAAAAGGGATGCTCAATATATCATAAAGTATTATATCATAAAGAATGAACAAAATGCCAAATGTGTGGGTCTGCGCGTGGTAATACTAACTCACCAGGTTGGGCTTTCGCTCTAAGGCACAGAAATTAAGGTCTAATATTGTAAAGTGGTCCATACCATTTTTAGATAATATCATGATTTGCATTAATCATTGTCGATTAAAAATACGTTTTTGATTTTCCTTGTAGGTCAGCAAGTTGGAAAGAGAGAAAAATCAGGAAGTTAAGCAGATCAAAGAGCACGAACAGCATAAAAGTACAGTGGTGGTAACAGAGCTCAAAGTCAAACTTCATGAAGAGAAAATGAAGGAGCTCCAAGCTGTTCGAGAAGCACTTTTGAGACAGCACGAAGCTGAACTACTTAGAGTAATAAAAATTAAAGATAATGAAATCCAGAGACTACAGACCCTTCTCAATGCTGTACGCGATGGGGCTCCTGACAAGGTGAAAACAGTGCTGCTCACGGAGGCGAAGGAGGAGGCCAAGAAGGGGTTTGAAGTTGAGAAAATAAAAATGCAGCAAGAAATTTCAGAGCTGAAAGGGGCTAAGAAACAAGTGGAAGAGGCTTTAACTATGGTCATCCAAGCTGACAAAATTAAAGCAGCAGAGATAAGGAGTGTGTATCACCTGCATCAAGAGGAAATCAGCAGAATTAAGAGGGAGTGTGAGAGAGAAATTCGTAGACTGGTACGTGTTGCTGTCTGCATCTATGTTTTTACTAACACTTATTGATAGTAAGTAAATGAAAGTTCAGTGCTGGACTCAGATGAATGGATAAGGATGGGCATTCAAACTTGCGGGGGTTGCTTCAAATCTGTTTTACATTTACTAGTAGAGATGTCAAAATGTTTTTTAAAAACGATGAGGATGTTTTGTAAGGAACTTTTTTATCCATGCCAGTGCCTATTAGTATTGTTCACATTTCAGGTACCAGGAAGAGGCCTTGGGTTACTAGCGGGGTAGGGGAATTCTACAAAACAGTTCTGTTTCTTGGCCCATGCCTCTATTTCCCCACCATTTGTTCCTCACTGATCCGCCTTGGTCCCTCCCTTTCCCGCCTTTGCTGGTTCCCATAAACATCACGTAACGAGCTTTACCCAGTCCCCAAATGCTCACTCTTCTGCATCCCATAGTGAGTCCTGTACCGTGTAGGCAATGACCCCCTTCGCTCTGCAAGGCGTTCGGGAAGGGGTTCCTTTCTGAGACCCCCCTTGGTGGCTTTCCCCCAAGACAGACGCTGGTGCTCCTCCTTTGGTGGCCCCGCGGGCAGCGACTCAGCAGGCTCCCGACCTCAGTAAGTTACTGGGGTTCCTCACCCGTCATTGCTCATCTGGTCCTCACTGGGTCTTTGTGTATGCTCACCAGCCCTCAGTCACCTAATGGAGCCACTTGAGTCTCGGGTGCAACAGTGTGCGTCTCAAAGGCAATAGCTACATGCTTGTGGCTTCGGAGTATTCCTCCAGTGTGTTTGGAGACTTGTTGGAGAGATTGAATTGGATCATGTTGCTTGGAAAAGGGGAGAACTCCCTGCGGGAGGGAGCTCCCTCCAAGAGGGAAGTCTTTGCCTGAGAGCCTGGCGGGCCACCAACGCTTGCTGTGTTTTAGGATGATTTCTTCTCCACTGCCGTCTCAGACACTTGCCTTAGGAGTCACAGCTTTGTGCGCGCCCGGCTGATTTGCAGGACTGTATCCCTTAAGTGCTGCTGCCATTCCCAAGGACATGGGAACAAATGTGACACCCATACTCTCATGATGCATATTTTGGGTCTTGTCTCAGTATTTATTTGAAGTTACCATGTTTTTGTGTTTGCCATGCTTTTTTACAGCATTCGGTGTCTCAGTATAAACTCATCCATGTCTCCTCTAAGTCATTTTCCTTTGACTAGTGCCCAAATCCTAAAAAAAACATTAAAATGCACAATCAGCTTGCAGACTGGCCCCAAGTCAAAGCATGGCAGCGTAGCCATGCTTCAGCAAACGCTCTGCAGAACCTGCCCACCACAGAGCTGGTGCAGCATCGTCTGTGCCCTAACGCACCAGGGGACTGCCGGCGCCGTGCCCTGCCCCGTGAGCCGGTGGAGCGTTACCTACCCTCTAGTTAGCCACCCCTTCTCTCAGGCTTTAGGCTGTTAAGGTTTCTTTCCCCTCATAGATTATTTTATTTTTATGAAGAGGATATTAGAATAGTTTATAACCAACTGATCTATTGATACCGCTCAAATATCCTGCAGTGTAAGTACTTTCTTCTCTAAACACACATTACTAGATGCATTGATTTAGTACATCAGAATGAAAGGATGGCTAATGTACGTCCTAAATAAACTTGCTGCATTACATGAAAAGTCCACGCTAATGGCCTCTAATGTAGAAGCTGTAAAATAAATATGTTCTTAGTTATAAGGAATAGAGCGGTTTGAGGTTATGTTTTCTAAATTGCCTTTGAAAATCAAACTTTTTTTTTAATTCTTGCTTGAAAGAATCAGATTATCTACCTGTACTAATTAAATTACACGATGCCATCATTTTACCAAGCCCTGAGTGCTTCCTGAATGACTTTAAGTACTCTCAGCTCCATTGACTCGGCTGTAATTGATTTTGGTGGGAGCTGTTGGCTGCCGGCACCTTGGAGGGGAGGGCCCTGCCATTTCAGGGGGGAAAGGCTGGTGCCACGTCATACGATAAAAGCTCTCCTCTCTAGGAAAATGAGGCAATTCTCAAAACGCTTCAGCTATTACTGAAAACCAGTGCTTTTTTCCCTTTTTAAGATAGGAGCCATCAATAAAGTACACTCATTGAGCCTCACCGGGGTTGCAACGAGGTGGACGCAGAATAGCCCGACGTGAGCGGGTCCGTCCACCCAGCAGAGCGATGGGATTGCACCTTCGTGTCACGGCTGTGGCAGACATCCAGCCCTCAGCTGTTAATGGATTCGCATCAGGATTCTAAAAGCCTCAGGATTCATGTACAATGCATTATTTAGCCATTTTAACCAAGGGGGGAAGTAACCTTTGAGCAAATTATGATTTCACGCCTAGAAAAATACTGCTTTTTTTGTTTAGTCAGAATAGAGAAAGACAAGTTGTACTCATTCATGTTTAGCTTTGTAATGATGTGAAGTCCTTTAACATAAAGACATTTTTTGAAGTTATTTATCTCTGATAGGAACAGCTTTTCATTTCCAAGTCAAGTACCTCTGCACAGGCTTAGCTTGTGGAAAATACTTCCATATATAGTCAGACAAAGACTGGAGTAGTACTAACTCACCTTTTTAAAACAATGTTCTTCCTTCAAATTAAAGCTAGTTTTTTTCTTTATTGGACAGACAGAAATGCATTTGTTGATGTCTCACTTTAGACTTTTGGAAAAATGTTAGATGGCCTTTCAAGGACCAGATGTGGTAGAAAGACACAGCAGTATGCGAAAAGGAACTGTACAGCCACCAAATTTACTTCAAGCAAATTGGAGTTTATTTTGGTCTTCAGCATCATCCTCTTTTGCCAAGGGAGGTGCAGGGTATATATGCTCCGGCTTTCAAAAGAACCAGCTCTAATATGAACCTTTCCATTTTGTTGACTTACTCCTACTTCGAATACAGTTAAATTGTCGCATCAAGCCAAAGCCGCTGCCAGTGAATGAACCTTGTCCTCGCCAGGTTTCTAAGGGGAATCCCTGCATTTCTGCCCTCTTCCAGAAGCGATCTCGGAGAAGGCGCAGCTGCACTGCAGCCTGTCAAACCCGCTGTGCCTGCCTCTGCGCTGTACCCACCTCCAGCAGCAAAACGAAATCAAAAATACTCTTGTGGTCAAAAGGAGACTTCCAAATGCAACTGGAAGCTGGCTCCTCCCCGGCTTGCACTCTCGTGCCAGGACGTGTTTTCAGCAGACCCTACATACACAGCAAGCAGGCTGTTACAGTTAGAGGGGCAATATTTGCAGGCGGTAGTTTTGGTAGTTTTGCACTACAGGCGTGCAGAGGCCTGCAGATTGTAAGAGCTACCAAGGTGTAATCTCTCTTCAGAAACAGTTCCCGCTTAGTATTTACCAAATAAAAATTCTAGCTATTTATTCTAGTTATTTTTCAGGTGCCAGGGTACCTGTTACTCGTTGATGCTGATGGCTTTGGACTAATCCCGCACAGCAGAGCTGAGGGTCTTTCAGTTCTGTGAACAGCACAGGAAAGGAAATAACGTGATTTGCAAAAGTGTGTATTCTGGCCTTGTGGTTTCTGCTTGCACATATGGCTTGTGCTGGTTGCGTCTGTAAAGTCTGAGTGTGACGCTCTCCAGAGAAGCACAACTAACCCAGTTAAGCTATCCCTGGCTCAGAAGCTTAAGAAATGTTAATGTAACAGATGAAAGTCCCTTGCAGATGGTAACAAGTAAGTATGGGAACAACCTTCTTTCTAAAGCGTTTCTAATTTTAGTAAACTTTCTTTAAATTTTAATTTGTGCATTTTAAAACAGCTTAAAATACTACACGAAAGTATTTAATTACATTCGTATGGTCTCCCACTAATAACAGCACACCCTGTGTTAGTGTGTGCATGTCCAGGGAAAACAGCCCTTCGGTCAGGAGAATTCCCTGAGATTAACTGGCCTCGAATTTTGCTTAAGGGGGACTAAAATGCAATGTGGGAGAGTGCATTTAAATTTTGCTTAAATGTAGATATTGGTCAGAGAGAAGTACTGAACAGCAATGGCCACTGCAGCCTCCCTTCCTCCCGTCACATTTATAAGGGGATTAGAACAGAAATCAGAAAAACTGAAGAAATGAGATTTGTTAGGGACTAGAAAGTGTTTATTTTCAATTTAAGAATTGACGATGACTACGAAAAGGTTTAATTACCTGCTCTGCTACCTCGTGTAAGACCCTCGTACACTGAGACCTTCATGGCTTCCGTGTGGTAACCCAGCCCCACGGACGCCGAGATCGATCCGTTCAGCATCGCGCTGAAGCTGTGCTCACAGGCACTTCCCTGAGATTTCTCTGGTAGGCAGGGGTAAATTAGTGAAGATGTGTGATTTAAAGGACGAAATCAGATGAAAAGTGTAGGAAGCTGACTGTTTAAATATTAATTTCATTGGTGATTGATTTAGTCTTTATCTTCTCCTTTTTATTGCCTTATATGCTGAAAAATTACCATATTTGGTATTATAAAGGTCTCTCAGCAGTCATCCTGTACTGAAAGGTAGACACATTATTCAAGGTGAATAATTTCTTCTTGCAAACGTGGATTTTTTTTCACCATTTGTGGTTTGAACCTCATTTACAACAGTATTTATTCCAACTAAACCTGGACCGCTGAAGGATTTTCTTGTATGTTAAGAACTACACAACATATTACTCCTACATTTTGGAGGGTCAATAAACCTCCTAGTTCCGAGTTGTTCCTTTTGCGTCTTACAGTCCAGTTTTTAAAAACATTTTTCTCTGCTGTCCTAAACAAGAAGTCTGCTCTCTTCTGCGCTGCCACGGCGTTGCTGTTGTGCTACAGCACACCTCACACGGGGCTTGGGCTCCTGTGCGCCTGGAAGCGCTTTGAAACGGTTGGCAGTGGGTGTGAGGTTCCTGCTCAGCAGCGGAGGTCTGAGACACCACACGCTTCATTTTGTGGCATTTACCAGGGACACTGAATAGTTACGCTGTCCTGAGCACCTCCTGAGCGTGAGGAGGGTATGGCGTACGTTT